AGCGCACCACCCCTGGGGGGAACCTGCTTATTTTATGTCTAATTTGTGAAGTCTAATTTCATGGGATTAAATACCCCAGGAAGTAGCTCATTGAAAGGTTCCTTGCAAAACCTATAGATAAAATATTTGATTAAGACATTTTTAAAGATTTATTTATCTATGCACACAAGAACTGGGATGCAGGCCAGAGGTGTAGTGGTGAGAGGAATCACCAGAGCCAGAGTGGGGAGCAGGACAGGCAGATCGACTGAAATCCACTGCTGAGGGGAGCAGCGGGCAGACAGGAGAGGTCTTCTGCACCCTGGGGTCCCTCCCTGGCCAGGGCTGGGGATGGCTTCACAGTGCTGTTCCTAAGCCTTCCTGCCACCGGGAGGCCCCTGATTAAGAACTTTTCTTTCCATTTCTCCTGTCCAATCATTCTCCTAATTCTGACATCACGGAGATTGTTGGGATTATTTTTTATCTACTTTTTGCTTTGTCAGGCTGGGAAAGAAAATGACATTGTTTACCTGTCTTAGGCCACTGCAAAGTGGGAAATCCAGCTTCCAACAGACTGTTGAATTTGTTAACATGCTAGTAACCTCCTAGTTGTTTTTTCAAGAATTTTCTTTGATTTCCACTGCCCCAGTTTTTCTGGAACAAACTCGGTATATAACACTTCTGTGGTGTAAGTGAAGACACTATTACACCAAATATATGAACAATCCAACTGGCTTAAAGAAATACCCTTCTCTTTGGGATGATTTCACGACTTTCTTGATTCAAGCTGCTTTGAATCATAGGGACTCAGAAGTGCTCTCCACCCATAGAAATTACTGTATTGTCAACAATTATTATTTTTTGCCTAATACACCATGGTCTCTCACACTTTTTCAATGCATGTGGGCAGCCACTGGGCAGTGGACAGAGGGTCTTTCTTTGACTGGAATGATAAAAGAGAACAGAAGAATGAAATCAGATTCAATAAAACAAGCCTCTTATTATCTAGTGAATACTACACTGAGACCCAAAGAGACAAGTTAATGCAGAGTCCCACTAAAACCTGTATTTTTTTATCAAACCTCTTAAATTGCCAAGAGGATGATTCAAGAGGGACTGTTTTTCTAGGCCCAAGATGGAGATACTCTTGCTTGAGGTGATGAGTCAGCAAACAGAAACGTAGGTAAATTCTGTGTCCCTATAAATGCTTCACTTGATGAGAAATGTGCTGTCAGTCCCCAAGGCAAGCGAAGTCTAGGCTCTCTACATGCTCCCTTGTTCCTTATTCATTTTCTATTTTTCTCTTCCTTGGTCCTTATTCCTTATCCTACAAAGTTTTTCCCTATCAAAGTTCCAAAGCATTTTTCAAAGAAGTAAAACAAACATTCTAAAATTGGTATCAAACCACAAAAGGCTCTGAATAGTCAAGGCAAACTTTAAAAAGAACAATACTAGACATGCTGTGTTCTATATGATTTCATTTATTTATTACTATTTTAAAGATTTATTTATGCATACAAGAGCAGGCCAGAGTCACAGGGGTTGAAAAAATTCACCAGAGACAGCATGGGAAGCAGCATAAACAGATCTACTGAAATATACTACTGAGGGGATCAGCTAGGGAGGTCAGGAGAGGTCTGCTGCCCCACTTGTGTCAGCTCCCTGTTTGGGAATCATACTCACGCTTCAGTGGCTGCGAATAGCTTCATGGTGCCATGACCCGTTGCGACACCAGGGGGGCCCTGGTCTTTGCTTTCAAACCATATTACAAAGCTATTGAAATCAAAACAGTATGGTACAGACATTAAAAACAGATGCACAGATCGAGACCAGAGTAGAGAGCTCAGAAATAAACTCATACATATATGGTAAATTAATTTATAGCAAAGGAGCTAAGAATATACAGTGGGTAAAGGACAATCTCTTTGGTAAATCACACTGGGAAACAGGACAGGTATACACAAAAGGCTGAAACCAACAACCATCTTACACAATACCCAAGAATGAGTTACTACAAAGCTCCAAAATGGGTCCCTCTCAGGAGGGACCCAATGGATTAAAGTGCGGCACTGTAAGCTGGCCACAGCCACTTCAGTATGAGTTTGATCCCCGGCCCCGGAGGTGACCACAAGGGCACAGCAGACCTCTTCTGTCTCACCTGCTGCTCCCCTGAGCGGTGTACTTAGTCCATCTGCCTATTCTGACTCCACTCTGTCTCTGGTGAACTTTGTTACCACACCTGCATTTCTGAACTGTACCCCAGTTCTGTATGCATAAATAAATAAATCTTTTTTTAAAAAAAAGCTCAAAATGGATTAAAGAATTGATTGTAAGTCCTGAAGTCATAAAGCTCCTAGAAGAAAAGTATAGATAATAATATCAGTCTCGCAATGATATTTTGGATTTGACAACAAAAATAAAAACAACAAAAGCAGAAATAAGTGGAAAGCCATCAAACCAAAAAGATTAATGAAATGAAAAGACAATTTACAGAATGCAAGGAATATTTGCGACTCATATATCTGATAAGCAGCTAATATTCAAATATATAAAGAACACATTCAGCTCAATAGCAAAAGCCAAACAATCCAATTTAAAAGCTGGGCAAAGGATCTGAACAGTTTCCCAAAGAAGACATACAGATGGCCAACAGGTACATGAAAAAGGTCAGAATCACTAAAGTCTTGGAAATGCAAATGGAAGAACAATCAGGTACCATTTCTCATCTTCAAGAATTATTGTCAAACAGAACAGATAACAAGGTCCTGGTGTTGATAAGAATGTAAATGGGTGTGGTCACTATGGAAAATTGTATGGAGATTCCTCAAAAAATTAAACAGAACTAGGATAAGATCCAATGATCCCGCTTCTGGGTATTTATATGAAGGAAACTAAAACAGTAATTTGAAAGAACATGTTCATTCCCAGGCTCACTGAATTATTATTTACAATTGCCAAGACACAGAAACAACCTACGTGTTCATCAGTGAGTGAGTGAATAAGGAAAATGTGGTATATATTTTAATCTAAAAATTAAAAGTCAGAGATCCCTGGTGGTGCAAGGGGTTACGTCTCAGCACCCTCAAGCATTCAGTAGCCACTGCAGCAGGAGTTAGATCCCTGCCAGGGAGGTGACTCACAGGGCTCAGCAGACCCCTTCTGTCTCCCCACTGCTCCCCTCAGCAGTGTACTTGGTCGATCTGCCTGTTCTGCTCCCCACTCTCTCTCTCTCTGGTGAATCCTCTCACCTCTGCACCTCTGGCCTGTACCCCAGTTCTTATATGCATAAATAAATAAATCTTAAAAAAAATAAATATCAAAGCAAAAGTCAATCACTCATTTATTTGGCATCAGGAATTGCAATCTGGGGTACCTCTTTTGTTGAAAGCTGAGGGCTTTATTCAGAGGGAGAGGACATGGAGAGAGGAAAGAGTTAATCAGTGTTAACAAGTTTAAACTATTCTTGGCTCTGCATAATTGGTTACTGATTCTATCTTCCGGCAAAAGTTCACACTGCAGTCCTCTGGACAGTCCTTGTCATTAGGGTGCCGCTGGCTTCTCAAGCAGAGTGAAACCATTGCCTCTTGCCCCAGTCCAAAGGTCTCTGGCCCAGTACAAACAGGCGAGTAAGCAGTTTTGTCCTCTGGTGCCCATTTTCGAGTGCTCCAGTTGGGATTGCTCTGCACCAGCTGTATTAAACAGGCGAAAGCTGCTGGGAGCACACCTCTTAAACGTTCTCCTCACAAAAGCGCTTTTGTGGCTGTTTGGGGAAGGTGCGAGGGAGGTTTACTGGGACCGGCGCACAGTCTGTACAGTCGCACGGTCACCTGTCACCTGTCGTACCCTGAAACAACGTGTTATGTCAGTGGCACCTCAAAATGACACACGTCGGTGCTGGGCGAAGTTGGGAGTAACTGCTTCAGGGGTCTGGCGCTTTATTTCTGCTGAAGAAGATGTTTCGGAATCAGACGTGTCTTGGTGGCCACTGACCACTGTCAGAGTACCACCTGCCCCCACGCGTGACTTGAAAATGGTCACCTTGCGCTCCGCGAGCTTAAAGACGGAAAAAGTAAATGTTGGGAGTGACCAAATGCGGAGATTTACTGAGGGACTGGATAAGGGCAATAATAAATCAGGCCTGGCATCCAGGGGTGATAAGGTGGTAATAAATGGGGCCTCGCATCTAATTAACGGGTCCTTGGTCGGGATGGGACTAGATGAAGGTGACAGCGAACTGGGGCTCACATCAAGGACACAGCGACGCGTCACCCCTTTGGAATCTGAGCTTAGGACCTATATAGGAGACCCTTCCCCCCAGTAGGGCAGTAGCTGCGGACCCCACCCGAGGGGCTCGTCTCAGCTGCTGTCCGGAGCAGTAAATTCTGCTCGCTCCGCCTTTCTGCCTCCCGCCTTCCTCCTGGCGGCCGGTCACAGAGTTGGGACAAAACAGTAACCAACGTAAGGCACCTGGCTTGTCTCCCCGCCAGCGCCAAGCCGGCCACGCCCGCCAGCTCGCGGCCGGACCTGGCGGGTCCAGGCACCCCGC